CAAAAAAAAAAATAAAATAAATAAAAATAAATAAATAAATAAAAGTTAACAGCTGCTGGTAAAAACGGAAAAAAATGCTATAAATGTTTAAATAAACGGTGGAGGCGAAATGCTGCAATGATTCCAGTGATTTCAAATAATCCCGTTTTCTCAATTTGTTTTTGATGTATTTATTCATAAATTGTCTTTATATCAAGGAGAACAGACTAGTCCGTTTATTGTTTATTTATGTTTTATTTTTATTGTCACATTTATCATGTTTGTTGTTCTGGTTTTGTGTTTTCGTTCCAACTTTTTCAGCTACAATTTGTGAATGAACAAAATATAATTAATTCGTTTTTCTTTCTTTGTTTGTTCAATTGTTTTTCTTTATGAATTTATAAAATGTGTTGTATTTATTCAACCCAAACTATGATAATAATAATAATAATAATAATAATAATAATAATAAAATCCTATTTTAATTGTCAAATTACTATATTTTATTGTTTAACGTTGACTTTTATTTAATTTTTATCTTTTTTAAATGTATATACAGTATGTCTTGTTTTCTCATTAATGTCGTATTTTTTTAAACAAAATTTGTCAATAATGCTAATCACCTTTTAATTTTAAAAATCAAAATTCACATTTCTGAAAACAAAATTTCTCGCGTTTGTAAAGTTAAACTGCAGGTCTGTTTTCTAATTCATCTTTTCTTTATTTTTATTCTTTAAAAATACTTTTTTAATGCATAAATGGTTGCTATCATTATGCGTTTGTGCGTGTGCGTGCGTGTGTGTGCGTGTGTGTGTGTGTGTGTGTGAACTTGAAGTGGTGTTTCTCAGTGGGAGGTTTTTGTGGTTGGGCCGTGTTTGGACACAGTAACCTGGTCTGATACTGATCAAAGTCTGATCTCTCTCTTTTTTCCCACCTGCTCTCTGCAGATCTTGGACGGGTCAGGCCATGTAAAGTTCTGCGTGGATGCCAGCAAACCAGACGCAGGCAGCTGGCTGAAGCACATCCAGTTCGCCCCCGCAGCCTCGCAGCATAACCTGACAGCGTGCCAGATCGATGATCAGGTACGGGATGACGACCTTTAAACACGTCACAAGGCCCAAGCAGAGAAACACAACATGTGGATGATTGGAGTTAGAAACAGTGACGTGTCCTCTGAACATTCCTCCCTGCTTCAGCTTCAGTTTCATTAATTATTTTAGGTATAACTCCAAGGCCTCCCCGTCCCGTCTGTCGCGTTAAAAGGTGTTATGGTGATCTAAGGCAGATATGAGCGGCTGGCCCACCGTGCCTTCAGTTAACACACACACCTTCTCCCCTGCTGCAGAGCCTCCTCACTATCTCTGCATGCTTTCCTCCTGATTGTGCACGTGAGGACCACAGGGCACGATCAGACGCAGCCGGCCGAGATGATAGTTCCATTCACTTCCCGGTCACGCTCGTGATATAAACTCTTAGATATGTCAGGAATGCTGAAGTCCTTTTGCTGCTCACCTGGCTGTAGAGAGGTGCGTGATGCACACATGGGGGTCTGTTCATCTCTGCAACCCAACAGACAGAGGATGGGAGGGGGGGGGGGGGGTGCTCCTGCACAGACAAGAGTCCTAAACTTTTTTAGACGTGTGTGGAGCATATCATCCTCTGACCCGAATAAAAACACATAATCTGGCTTGCATGCTTGTCATCTCTTCTCACAGGTGGTCCATTTAGATCGCTTGTTCGGCACCATGCACTGAGGTTTCAACAAATACTGCCTTTTCGTGCACTGCGGGTGCACATTGCCCTAAAAAAAAACTAAAAAAAACCATGTTAATTTAGAGGCTAAACGAAAGAATCGCTGAGAAATAACCGGAACATGTGAGTAAACGGCCTTTCCCCACATCTGTGTTTCTTCTTGGCCCTCGTCTCAATCAAGAGGTAGCTGAAGGAGCTCATAAAGAGGATGTGAAATCAGAGCTGGAGCCTTTCGAACACACTCACCTCCACTCTTGTAAAAAAACAACAACAACAGAGAGACAGAGAGAGAGAGAGTGTGTTCCTGAGCTACCCTCTCTGCAAGGTGCGACTCGCTGTCAACGCCGTGGTTCTGCTTGGGCGGCTGTGTAAGGCTCCGGCGGGTCACGGACACGGCTATGATGAGGTGATTGTTAAGTATCGCACACTGTCACAACACAGCACAATGTGCTGTCTTTAGGCCTTCCGGTCGACACCGGTGTTTTTGAAAACACGCTGTGGCGTCTCACAATGCCTGTCTGCGTGTGGAAAATGAATAGGCCAGGAGGGGTGGTCTTGTAAAGGTGCTGTCAGTCCTTCTTGCTCTTTGTGTGTGTGTTTAAGCTCATGAGGGCTTTTTGTATCCGTGTGTTCCCAGAACTTTATGCCTGTTGACTCGCTGTGAGTGTGTCGAGTTTTATTGTATCCCTGACGTGTGCACCTATTAGTGCCAGTGTTTCTGCTTGTGCCCACATATTCGTTTTGTTATATGTGTGTGTGGAGGGGAGGTGGGGTTGCATAATGCTGCCGGATTGTAAATTGCTCATTGAGGTTTACATGACTCCCCATGCTCCTCATTTTGAGCTGGAAATGTTGAAACCGTACCTGATCCCAGCAGGTCTTTTACAGCCTCGGAGAGAAGTCCAAACTCCGCCTGAAACCGCCGGTGACGCACTCGACGCACTTAACGCCTTCACATTTCCACATAGCAAGCTCACCAAGCAGCGCGGGGGCCTCTGCGTGCTGCAGCCCAGTCTTCCCATTCCATAAAACGAGCTCAAAGAACTCTCCTCCAGCGTCTCGGACAGGAGTGATTTGTTGCAGGATTTATGCGACGACGTCGTCCTGCAGTGACGGCCATTTCCAGGTGTTGTCGCTCGTTATTTGGTGCTGGAGCTCCTCCGTGCTCTTATTTCGATCCCAATTCAGTTTATCATAAAACGTTATGACCAATCTCAGGGGAACAGAGGATAGAAGGAGAGAGGGGGATAAATGAGTTATAGGAGTTGTGTTTGTTTTTCTAAATGGAGGAACTTTTGGGAGATCTCGTCTTCTTTTTATCTTCCATCTTTGCTAACCATAAAGATGCTCATTCTGCAAACATGTTCAAAAATCCTTATAGAAAATAAAAACAACCAAACATTCCTAATAGAGGACATGACAAGTGGTGGATGTTGGATAAATAAATACCCTTTTTTAAAAATCTACTTACTGAAAATAAGCCACACGGAGGACACAAGAAGATTTTATCTGGTTTACCTGCAGGGGTCAGAGTTCATACACGGATGTTGCATTGAAGCTCCGGATGTGAGCTCTGCCTTGGACAGTATAAAGAAGTGCTTTTTATATGCTTTTATACAGACACTGATGATCCGTCTGCCAGATTATACACTCGGAGAAGGCCTTGGAGGTTTATCAGGTGTCTCTGTGCCTGCAGGCTCCTCTCTGACGGGACCTCTGAGCAGTCAAACCAACTCTCTAACACACACGCATTCATTTAACATTAGTTAGCGATAAACTTTACCTAAATTCCCTTGACAGTGGCTCTAAGTTATAAACTTTTGCCCACAAACAACAACAGGTTTGTGCTAAATTGCGGTAGAAAAAAATAATGACTGAGCAGCTTCATATTGCATGTTCTGCTTTTTATTTATTCTTTGACAAAGAAAGGTCCCATGACCCGAAAGGAGGAAACGGGTAAAGATAATGGATGGCTTGATTGATGGATGAATGGATGGATGGATGGATGGATGGATGGATGGATGGATGGATGGATGGATGGATGGATGGATGGATGGATGGATGGATGGACAAATAATTAATTTCATTCCATTCCATTCATTTTTCTGATATTTCAGTTTTATTGCTTTACTGGAAGAAAGCAACAGGAAAGAGTGGAGAGGAAGGAGGTGGCAGGTGTCGCAGTTTGTGAGGCTCACTGAAATGTGAAGTTACTTCCAGGTACCTCCGTTTCATAGGGTTGAAACTTGTAATTTAAAAAAAAAAACGGCCTTTAACCTGCCTAATACCAGAGATATATATGCATACATATTTTTATTGGTGTATGTGTGTGTGTGTGTGTGTGTGTATGTACTTTCCTAATGCCCAAAAAATCACAGTGTGAGCAGCCAGTACTTAGATGTGTCTGTGATCAGCATGTTTTGTCATTTGGATAATTAGACCAATTAGTGGTTAAAAACCCTCTTCTGCGCTCTTCACTTCAGTGATTCAACTGAATGGAAAATTGATTGAAAGTGTAATTATCATTATCATCCAACGAGGCCCTGAAGAGCCTCTCATAAGACTGTACAGAGGGGATATGAGTGTTAATCTCATCCACTCTATTGATTCTCACTCAGTACTGAATACGATGAAGTGGCTCAGGGGCATTTGAACAAAACACTGACCGTCCTCGTTCCCAGTCACTGACGGTGATTGTTACTCACAGAGTAAACAGCTTGAAGCTTTTAAAGAAGTCACTTGAATCGATCGTTAAAAAGAGATCTGATTCATTGTAGCAATTAAAGGTTGCAAACATTGCTTTAGTCCTCACATATTTTTAGTGAGGGCTGACCTTGTGACAGTGTGTTTGGATCAGGAGGATGGGAGAAGCACTTACGGTAATTTTGGGAAACAAGAGTTTGAACTCAGCTCAGGTAAACTTATTTTTAATTGCTGATTTTGGCTTGTTGTTTAAAAAAAATAGGTAGGTTATTTTTTTAACCAATGTTCTGAAATCAGTTATGGAGGGTATGGAGAGTTTATCTAATATTAAATTGTTCATCTTTTGTAGTGATTTCTGAGCAAATGAAACGGCTCTTGCTGAACTTCATCCTTTTGGTAGAATGTTTTACTGCGAATGGATTCCCTGCGATGCTGCACAGTGGAGGTAGACACCATCTGTCTCCTCCACTGTCTGTAAATGTGAAAGCAGCTTTAGATTTGAAGCTGTGTGCACAGAAAACCAGCGCTGACTGAGTCAGAGTTTACAGGATGCCACTGAGAAAACGGTGACCTGTTTATCCAACTATCCAACTACAGCCCCTGACTGGATTACAGCTGTGAGCACTGCCAGTTAAAGTGTGTGAGAAGAATTAAAGACACTCTTGTTGATTCTCTTTTAAAAATACACAAGCGTGTGTGCACAAACGTGAAACGGCTGATCATCACATGCATAACATGAGCAACAGGAGAAATCCTTTCACGTGTGTTTTTCATCCTTAAGACTGCAGCATGTCTTCACGATGTGGACGCACATGTTGTGAATTTCTTACCTCCAAAAGTACTTTTAGCCACTGTTTGATTGTTTATTGTGGTCATGTACGTGGGAGGGTGCTTGTTGGCTTTTAACGTGCTAAGAACGACCCCAAGAAGCTAAAGGCTGCACCTCCTGCCCTGCACTGATTTGACGTCTATTTGTTTTGTGTGTGTGTGTGTATGTGTGTGTGTTTATCTAGGATGACCCTAAGGGAAGAGGTGGAGCTGTATAAGGAGGGGGGGATTCCCCTCCAGTTTGTAATCACCCTCTTTAACCCTCGTGTTTGTAGTTGAAACTAAAAGCAAATTACCTCTTTTTGCTGCTGATTGATTCTTAAAAAAGAGGCATGGATGGCTCAGAGCCAGTGTTTCCCACAGATGAAAACTTCAGTGCAGTCAGTGTC